AGCTAAGGAGATGATGAGAGGGGCAAAGAGCCTGCATAGGCACATAAGCTACAGCGAGAAAGGTGACAAATTCCTGGTTTGTTTACCCTTGAGAATAAATAAGGGTGAGAGAAGACGCTCTGCTCAATTTGGGACACTGATAAAGAGAGAAAAAGGAGAGAGGAAGAAAAATTGCTATTTATTCTGAGTGACAGTGTTAACATTCTAGGAATAGGGCACACAGTAGTTCTGCTGTTGAGTAACACTGAGATCACATCCCAGCTGTAAATTGGCTGGCAGCAATAGAGCAAAGAAAGTGAAGATTCATGTATTGATTTCCACATTCCTCTCAAAGGAAAGGTAACCAATTACTCCTTTTACTGAAAGGAAGGGAAAAGCTTGGGGAGAGCAACACATCAACAGACCTTTTTTATACACTAAACTTCAAAGACTTATGAATAAACTCGGAATAGGAAAACAATTCCCACTGATTTGAGCATTCTTTAAGAAACTTTGAAAGTTAAAAAATAAAAGTTATGCATTAAACTTCTTAAAACTTCCCCAAGCTTGAGCTCAGCAATTAAAAAAAACATAAAATAACTGGACTATTGATCACTTTCTTTACTTCCTTTTTACTTGAATTTAAGGCAAAGCAGGTATGCTAAGGACTTCAAGATTTTTAGAGTGGCATTTATAGGCTACAAGAAATTCTAACAAGTCATCTCCATATTTTAATCTCTTACTGGTATACAAAGCAATCTGAATTTCATTCTATAGCAACCTTTTATCTTTAAATCTGAAGAATTTCTGACTTTTAAAAAGGTAATGATGCCTTACTCTTTCATTTAATGAGTCCAAAAAGCCCAATGTCCACTGTTGTCCTTAACCTCTCCTGAAAATTTCCGTAAGTGGTACCACACAGGGAAGATAGCACATTTTGATATAAAGCTGAGATTAGTGCTACTGAAAGATGGCATTGTAGCACCAAGCATGATCTCATCTCTCCCATCACACACCAATCCACATTACTGACACTTTATAAATCCTCAGTGTCTCAAGTGAAGGTGATGTGTTCATGAACGTAATAAAAATAAAAGTATTCATTGTATATAGACTTTCCCTGCTAGAGTCAGAATGAAGAAGAAGAAGGAGAATTCTTTCTCACAAATCTGAACCATCTGAGTAATGTCACAAAACCTAATACAACTTTCTATAAAATACAGCCCTTTCTGTTGTTTTTCATGCTGCACCACTCTTAACAGACCATTAAGTCATGCCAGGCTGATTTATGTCATGGAAACTTCCCAGTGCAGACTGAAATGCATCATGCAGTCATATTGCACTTAAATGCCAATAGACCGCCTTTAATTGAAAGGAAATTTGGAAAATTCATGGCAGGTGTCTTAGCTGTCTGTCTCTTCACCATCATGATGGGGAAGTTCAGTTTTTGTATTTAGTCTCCCTTTAGTTCCTTAACTAAGTTAAAATCCTTCACTTCTATCCTGGTGGCAAAAGTATCCAGGTTATTTGCTGCAAGTCTCTTCTTTTTGGGAAAAGAGCCACAGCACATGACAAAAAACTAATTAAACCTGACTTACTGCAAAGCAACTGACAAGTAAAGAACTGTATTTTCACTTAGCTGAAATTAATTTGCAAACTGAGCAGTACTCTGTCATCTGAATGACTTTTTGTATTGATAAAAAAACATAACTGGGACATCAGACAGATCTTCATAGATCTTCCATTTGAAGTCCTCCATCTCAAAGCAGTACAGCAATTGCCTTTAGAAAGAGGGTCGATGTTACTGAAACTTTTGGGCTCTTCCCAACTATTGTGCTTCTTTCAGCAGCTATGCTCCTGCCCAACTGCCATAATAAATACAGCAGAATGCAAAAATGAGAAAAGTCTAACTTGCTCACCTGGAAAATCTGTTTAATGAGTGAAATAACTGTAGAAATGGTCTAAATAGGGATAAATATCTTGTTTCCTAAACCCATCTGTTGTAAATCCTGTCAGAAATCTTTTCAAAAGGTTATAAATAATCTATTTTAGAAACAGGCAACACATTTATTCCTAGCAGCAAATTCAAACATGATGAGTAATCTGGCATAGAGCTTTTAAATTCACCAGCTGCCACCCACCTCAGGCAGCACCATGCCTCATTTTATCTGTATAGCCCATATCAGTGTAACCATTTGTTAATAAGTGCTTGAAGCCAAGATGGTCACTGGTAATCCCATTCCTGAATTTTTCACTCAAGCTGAAAGTAAAATAAAAATATCACGTCTAACAGAGTACAAATATTTGAAAAAACTGACAAGAAAACTGACTAGAAAATGAAAATTATTCTGTTTGCAATAAGAAATACAAATTTGAACTATTAAAAATCTATTTCTCTATTCTTCACTGGAAAAAAAAAATTGTTTGGTCTTGTTTAAAACCTAATAAAGACAAAACATGTCTGCTTTGAATTGGAGATGGTGATGGAAGACAGAAGTACCTAGACAATTTTCTGGTATCATGAAAGAATATAAACTTTTAAGTGCTTCCCTACACTTTAACATATACATAAGTATACAAATATACTTCTATTAAAATGTCATCCTCCTAGAAAGCTGTGAGCTAATTACATGAAGTAGTGTTTTCTTTAGCTTTCTTTAGGTAAGGAGAGGTATTTTTGCTCTGCATTCCAGTTAATTTCCTGAACAAAAAAATGTTACAAGATTTGACTCACTGTTCTTGTTAAATAGCAATTTTAACAGAAGATTATTTGGGTTTCTCGGTGGAGAGGGAAGTTACTTTGGTTTGTCTTGCCAAACTTTAAATTTCCATAAAAACAGGATGGGTAGCCACCTTCTTTGCCTAGTCTTGAATGAAATAGAGATAGGAACTGCAGAAATTAGTTTTATTGCAGGTAATTAAACAAAAAAAAGCCAATACAGGTACAACTATAACTGCCTTTCCACAGGTACAGGATTAGATAAAAGTGGCTGGCTCTGATCTGCTTTTACACAGCAATCCCCACATACACTTGTATGGGAGTTCTATGTCAAACATCTTCAGGGTTAGACTTATTTACTCAACAATCCTTTCACAAAGTCACAAAGATTATCACTAAAATAAATAATTAGATAAAGACCATGTGTCCATATAGTAATTATTTCAATATCAACCATTCTAATTTCAGTTTCCTGAATAAAATCTGTAGAAGAATTAATTTCTCTGTCACAGTTGCTCAATTTCAACAAAATAAAATAGCCTAGGCAGGGAATATGTGGAATTGACCACTGCACATTCACACAATCATATACCTGGACATAAAATAACTTGAGACCAAGACCTGCTATATAAGCTTTGGAGATGGAATCAGGGATGACTAAATGGAGAGCCACCTGAAAAATCTTAAAAAAGAATCAGTGCTGTGAAATGAGACACTATCAAGACTGCTGAAACCTATCATTTTCTTGTGAATCTCCAATCATTTATTTTATGTAGTTTTCACAGAGCTTGAAACAGTCTGTTCTTTATGATTTTTTTTCCTTGCCTGTCTTTTAAGAGTCAGCAAAATGACAAAAAAAAATAAATCTACAAGCAAAATACTTTAAATCTTGTGGCATTTCTTAGTGAATGAAGGAGCACACTAAATTCACACAACATTTTCTAAGCAAAGGAAAATTTTCTCACGAGTTTACTGCAGTTTTACACTTATGCAACTCCTGGGAACGAATTACTTGAGAATCAGCCTAATGCCAAAATAATACAGTAGTGATTTGGGTTTAAAGCTTGCTATCAAAATCCCAGATGGAGAAGAGTAAATTTCTATTCTGTACAGGGAATTCTCCAGGTGTGGATAAGCCATGCTATGACTGTGGAGGTATCTGGCTTGGTTCCATGGATGTTAGTTCAAGCAAGTTAATAAGATGGGATCACCCTAGTTCTGGAGACAGAGGCCTAACCTGGATTTTATCTTTAAATTACTCCAATCTTGCTTCCTCCAAACTTAGAACAGCGAAGAGCTGAGATGAATTCAAACTCACAAACTCTAGTCAAACACGTATCTAACAAAAGTTTTGACTAAGACCAAACCCCTCATTAATCTCCATAAACACCAGTACTGACTTTTTATGCTAATCCAAAAAAAATCAGAGTAACCATATTATTATTCTAAAAGATACATTTAAATATAAACTACAAATATCAGAGGAGCAATGCAGCTCATTAAGCTAAATCCATGTAGGCACAGAGTAAATATTCATGAAAGAAAATTGACTCGTACATTAGGGATACTTCTGAACAGCAGAAGTGGATTTCAGCTGCTGACAGTTGCAAATTTTCCATTATCCTCAGTAAGATTTTTATGCATTTATGGAATTTCAAAGGCACAGGAAATAATAACATTTTCAGTGTGAGAATTAAAAACCTAGAGGCTGTTCAAAACAGTCTGCATCCTATACAGTGCACTCCAAACTGCACTCCAAGATGACCCAAGGGCAGAAATCAGTGATGAACTTCCTCAGCAAGCACAGAAATCAACTCCATCCCCTCTTCAATTTCAGGACTTCTTCATTTCAGAACTCTTTGAGCGAACAAGAAAGACGGGACATGCAAAGCCTGTGCTTTTACTGCTGTGCAGGAAAAGCAGGATGAGCTGATTGTTTAGGGCCTGGGAGGAGCTCACCAAAGTCAACACATTCCTTTCTGTTGATTTCAGTGGCTTTTACACCAGGCCCAAAACCAGACCAAAACATCTAAATGAGTGATTTTGGCTCGGTTTTGGCACACCCACCCCGTTTCACTGATCAGCACTTGGTGGTGATTTGGCAAATGTGCTCGTACATGACACAGTAGGAAATACAACGTTTGGAAATAGCGCTTTGTCAGACAAAACCGCTTGCCTGGTGTTAGACAGTTACAGCTATTAAGCGCTGGCTGCTTATTCCAGCCAGTGAAATGCTGCTGCAAATGAAAGATGAAGCATTGCATGAAGCCATGCTAAAATGGATAGAAGGATGGTTACTTACCAACGGGGCGAGCTGTTGACATTACAATGGTGTAGTGAGAACATAAAAAGGAAATTAAAAAAAGAAAAGAATATCTGTCAGAATGCATGACGTGTAATGTTACTTTCCACTATGGATACTACCATGATTGCTAACCCCTCAAATGGCAGCCTAAGGCAAATGTTCACTGCTGTTATTGTTTAGTCACGTGCCACTATCATCCCATTTGCTTGAGCACAGCATCTGAACAAGCTGACTGAAACCATTCTCTGAGAAAAATTTTTATTATCTTCGCATGCCATCATCAAGTATCATCGTTAATGCCTGATAAAAGAAAAATTGCATTGCATTAGCACAAACTTTTAGATCCCAATGAATACATCAACTTAAGCCTCACACTGCCTAATGTCACGCAAGGCATTTGCTTTCTGAGTCAAATACCAACTGAATTTTAAGCATGACCAATCAGTATAACAGTAAGGGCTACAGAAAGCCCAGGACAGTTTTTCTCATTCAATAATGGGCATGAGAGCTTACAGCACAGTGGTTTTTCATCACTGACAGTTCTGATGAAAATATAACAAATGGGCTGAAATGGCCACAGGGACTTCAATCCAGAACCTCCCAAATTACTTCTTAGGTAACTTCTACTTCCTAAAAAATTGCTGTTAAATGATTGACAGGTTAATACTGTTTCAGGCTGATATAGAGATTGAAAGTTGCCATTGCAACAAGTGATTTCTTGGTTATAGCAACAGCCCTTCATTATACTTGTGCTGGGGAAGAGAGCTGTCAGTCCCTCTGCTAATAAAATATAGACATCTCTTTCAGAAGAGCTGAAAATTTGGACATAAAATTGACTCCAGGTTGGATCTGTGTAGGCAAAGCTTCCCTTATTTTATCAGCAGCAATAATTACACATTTCTGAGCAACGGCACGATTCATTTTTTTTCTTTTTCTTATTTTTAAGAAGATTACCAGCTCTGTGTGCTTATGTACAGGCTAGGGTCAAATGTAAGACAAGCAAATTCAGAGGTAACAGAATTTTCAAGGGCCTTTTTGGCTCTCAACCTTCCCATGGCTCTGTTCCCATTTTATTTAACTGTGTCTAGTCTAGTTTCTGTTCTCACCCATCATCTGTTGGAACACTTTTTGGCTTCCAGTATTATGGACACACTCCTTCTCCTGCAGAAAGATGAGGTATAAGAGTGATATGCATCTTTCCAAGAGAGAACATGGAGTCTGGGTCACAGAAGTCAGATTCTACTGCTGTTTGTGACAGTATAATGCAATTTTCCTGACTGCATCCCCATCCTCCGGTTTAAGAAGATGGAGATGTGAATGAGGGAGCTAAGGATTATGTGGCTGTTGTCAGGTGTGCAGAAAGAACTACATGACACCTGCAAGGTCCAAGACACTCTCAAGGTAAATTTTGAAATGCTAAGTGGTTTTGCTCCTTTACATGACATGGTAAAACCAGTGTCATACAACACTGTTAATTAAGAATTCAGAATTCAGGCTTTCTTTAATTAAGAAGTCTATTGTTCATCATCCCTTTAAAGTCAAAGGGAGATTTCTCTGTCTTTTGTTTTCACAAAATTTAGGTTAATAGTTTTCTCCAATGAGTTTCTTGTTTTTTTCTCATTTTTTTCTCATTCTCTATCATATCCTGAACATGTTGTATGTTTCTAATACCATGGCTTCCTCTGTATTGAATAAACATTATGTATTTAATTGTAAATGACAAACCCAGGGGGAAAAATACGCAAGATAATGAAAACATGCTTTTACTGGGGGGAAAATCAATTAAATTACACATTTCCTTGAGTTTTTCTCCCTTTAATTTCATTGGGTTCAAGCTTCGGTGATTACAAAGGATTTTTTTGCTGGGTTGTAGTTGTTGTTTATGTTACAAGTCAGGGTAGCAAATCTGAAAGTCTTGCTCCAGTCATGTACACAGTGGACACAGTTCTAGGAGTGTTTTAAAGGCCAGGGAATTGATGACCAGAATTACTGGACTCTGTGATCCTGCCTGTGACAAAGGAACAGTGTGAGACTGTTTCTGGGAGTTGGCTGTGGTGACTGATTTTCCCATATTACAAAAGGGAAGAACAATCTCTTACACACCTATTTCTTCAACTTAAAATGGGAAGAGGCATATTGTCACAGTCTAAAGTGAACACTGAGGTAATATTTCAACAGATTATCACATCACTCTCTTTTCTTTGTTACATACTAACATCTCATCTCCCCCTCCCTACAAAGCCACTCAGTGGCTTTTTTTTTTTTCCCTTTGAATTCAGCAAATTAAACTGAACTGTGTCCATGCATTAAATGGATGGAAATGGAAGCTGGCCTCTTGGGTCAGTTGACCCCAGTTCTAATAAAGCAATCCATTGAGACTTTGAACATTTGATTTAATGTGTATGAAAAGAGGAGGACAGATAAAGCTAAAAATGTTTTTATTAACCTTTCACAGCTCTACTGAGAACCGTCAGCATGCACCACTAAACTGTGAAATAGTGTCTGCATGGTATCCATTGTGCCAAATTGCTGCTTATCTTTTGGAATAAAGTAATAACTATTATATTCTATTTACTCAGATAGAAATATTAGCTTACAAACTTTTTCTCTCCCCATAATCTTTAGAATGTCTGTATCTACTGACATGAAGATATTTTGGCAACTCATTATTCCACCAGCCTTAAAACCTCCTTACCAAATCAAAGAGGAGCACATAACAGTGAGTGCATACTAGAGACCACAAATATTTTAGGAGAGAATAATTGGATTTTACCTTGTAGCACTTAAAAAATTTAATTAGGATTTTCTCTTTCCTTTGGCTATGGCTTATTTTTTGGATAAAGGGTAGTGGTAGAGAGCTTCATTATGGCAGAGCTAATCCCACAATAATATTATCTGTATTATGTTTGTCATTAATAAATATAGTTACTCTTTATACTTCTTAGAGAAAGAAACGTGACTAATAGCCTGGACTGGTGGCTCACATATTAATGTCTATGCCCACAGTTATGTAGTGCTTGCTTATGAATATATGCATCTGCTCTTCAATAAAAACACATTGGGACAGGACTTTAACCACTGGGGGATCTTATCCCACTGAAATCAATTAAAATTTTGCATGAGATATCACCAGGACCAGGATTTCACCTGCGCTGTGGATCAGTGTGGCAGCCACCATGGCAAGGGGTGTGTGGAAGCCAAACAACGGCAGGGAAGGCTGTGGCCCATCTCACCAGAAAGCAATTATCCGTGTAGGACACAGGCCCTGCCCCTGCGGGAGCACTCACCTCGCACGGTGAGCGTGGCAGAGGCTTCCACTTTTCCAACCCGATTCTCAGCGATGCAGGTGTAGGTTCCCTCATCTGTGCTCATGGCTTTCTTAATGCGCAGGGTGTAGTCGTCTTTGATGTCATACCTGTATCACAGCAAAAGAATGAGAACTCTTTTTGTGGGCAACAGAAATGGACAAAAGCTATCACCTGGAAAATGCCAGTCTAAATCTATCTTGGGAGCCAACTTTGGAAGATAAAGTATTATCCAGCATTAGATAATTCCACAAAGCATTAATCTTCATGACACTTTTATTGCGCTCTGCATTAGTTAGAAACTTTACATAAAATTAGTATTGCTATGTTCAGTATTAGGGCTTTATTAATAATATAATTCACTTTGTCCTTGATCTAGAGCAATAAGATAAAATTAAGGTATCAGACATCAGTTATCAATACATGACAGCTCAGGTTTATCATGCCTTTAACTATGTGAGCTACACGTTTTTACCTTTTGCTGATTTTGAAATTTCCTTTTATATACAGTTTTCCCCTACAGCTGCAATCCCTTAGGGAACGGTGAGCGTGTTGGTAGGATCTCACACTACCCAATTGCAAACAATAAAAAATATATTCAAGCTCTGGAAGGTGACATTTATTGAAGAGGCACATTAAAGCAGATTTATCAGTTTCACAGAAATACAACAAAACAATTCAATAAGGGTAGACAATGACATTTTCTCTTTCTTAAAAGAAATTAGAAACAATTCAATTGTGCTTTGTCCATTTCTTTGTTTTTACTGCTGAAATAATTCTAAAACTATGAGAATGTATAAAACTTAATACAATGTACTCCAACATGCAGTGAACTTTTATTCTCAAGGCATTTAGATTGATTATACCCAGAAAAATATTTTCAGTTAAATTGTTATTATCCTGCAGAAGTCATGCCTAACAAAGTATCTTAGGCTCTGATCCAAAGCTCATTAAAGTCAACAGGATATTTCATGTTGTAGAAAATGTGTTTGGTTCCCAAATCCTGGTTATCAGCATAGATAGTTTACCCTTTCAATATCATTTTGTTAAATTATTTTCAACAACATTTCTTCTTGATGTCATACATTAAGTCACCTTGAATCTAGACTTGGCCTCAGATTCACACGTATCAGTGAAACAGGAACACAAAACTAAAGACAGATCTAGACTTCAGGAGGTATCAAAACTATTTCTCACTGTATACACAGTCATGACATAATTTTAGAAGGACTCATTTACTTTCTTTTTGTCATGCATTAAAGGCCTTATAGACTTGCACAGGAAACACATTAAAATCATATGGGAGAGCACCCTTAATTGTTTGGATGAATAAGAATGCAATGCAACAAATCAGAGGAATGTTGTTAAGCTCTATGAGCATTTTTAGATCCTTTGGGAACATGAAACTTAACTTTTTTTTGTACATAATGTGCATTGGTATTGGTTCTTTTGGTATAGGTTTGGAGAGAGAGTGCTGTGTTCTAGCAGACTTCAAAGCATCTTAACTCAAAGATCCCATATGGTGAAACATTTAAATTTCTGTTAGGTCTAACTAAAGCTCACAACATCAATTACAGCATTCCTAGCACTTCCAAGAACAAAAAGAAATCAAGACATCTTTTCACACCACAATACAACTTCTTTCTATATTCAATAGGTCCATTCTATCAATTAGCAAGGAATAATTTAATAAAGACGAATTTGAGGCTAACCATTCTGCTAGAGTTAACATAAGCACATATAATACCCATTTCCTTAGGAGTTATGCTTAATTGTATGTATATGCAGTACCTCAGATTAAACTGATTAATAAGAGATATGCCAAGGGGAAGAAAAAGTAGATGACATGGCAAACTTTAGAAACTTGTAGGGATAACTTTTTTGCCAGCATAGTGCCATTGGTAGTGGTGAGGGGGCAGGTAGTTACAATATTAGAGAACTTAATATGCACTTTCTGGAGAACTACACATCTATTACAACTACATCCAACAGCCACTAAAGAACATTTTTTCTAGACTGCTCACAAATTATGTCATTTTGCATGCTGTGCTGCATTAGTCAACGGTAAATAAAAATCACTGTTTTCATAAGACAGAAAAGGCAAATTGGCCCCCTTAAAAATCTCTAGAATATGACATTATCCCACAACGATTTGTCTTTGGTGATTGCAGAGACAAGAGCAAATGCTTATTTTCTTGACAAGAGGCCAGCTCTAGGAGGCTGAAAATATAAATTTGCATTCAGCTCCTGTACGATGAGAAAACTAAGATCAGTTGTCATATAAACATGAATTGGATATCGGAATCAGGGCTATAAAGCTGGGCAACAATTAGCCATCTATGTAATTGATTTTTTCTCTTTGTACAACAGATAACTTCACTGTTTCACTTTATGCTGGGCAGAACAAAACAGCCAGGCAGCAGGACTGTAGCTGAGAGAGGGGCTGCCTGAACAGGGATGCAGGCAGGCTGGGACAGGGAGCTCCAGCTTGCTGTGGGCTGCAGCTGACTCACTCTGCTTCCTGTCACGGATGTGCTGGTGCCGGCATGCCAGCCAGCTGCCTCCGAGGCTCCAGCAGCCTTTATCCCTGCACCTGCCAATCATGCACATTGTGCCAAGGCTGCTGGGTGGAGGAGCCAGCTGCATGGCATGCCAGGACGCAGGGTGGTGGGCACAGCCATCAGCTCCCGCTTGGGTCACCAAAGGGAGGGTGGCGTAGACACGTCGCTGTCATGGTCCAGTTAACAATTACTTCAAGGACAGGTTCATCTCTCCCAGTCTGCTTCTCCAACAGGCAATACTTTTGGAGCACCCTGAGAGAACGTGCCATCTAGCAATTAGATTCATACATGGATGGACCCGTGGGGCGCTAGAACCATCTGCTGTCCTGCAGTACTGATATGCTGCCCGTCAGTCATCTGTTCCACACGCACTTCTGGGTGTCCCCAGAAGTCACCACAGTTCAGTGAAGGGCTTTGGCAGATGAAGCAGGCAGGAAGAAGAAAGGAGGAAAACTGGCTTTTAGCCTGACCCACAGCAACACAAACAAAATAACAAGGAATGAACACTGAACATCTTTTAAATTTCTCAAGTATCCACCTGCTCAGCCTTGAACAGTGCCTTGTCTCCTCTCTGTCCTAGAGCCTCAAATCCCCACGGCAAGATGTTTTCACCTCATTTTCTGTGGAAGTTCACTCTCATCTGGATTAGTGCTTCTGAGGGTCCTCTCTGCTAATACCAATCACAGAGAGCGTTTACCAGGCTCCTGAATTGATGACAGAATGGCAGAAAACCAGGGTGCAGTGGTTAAATTGCTCCTTAACGTTGCCAGTACATGAAGAAGGCTATGTCTTCAAAATATGTGTAGTCAAGAAACAACTTGTGACATACTGCCCAAATATTGCTGATCCTACCCAATTAATGCAGCACTGAGATAAAACCACAGGGTGTCAGACATCAGTTTCACATGTTTATGGACATCTAATTGATTTTAAGAACTTCTCTTTGTTAAACATTTGGAGGTGCTTAACCTTTTGGTGCAGCTTAGACTTCAGCCATCAGACTGAGCTGGAAGAGGTTTTTTAAACAGACAGTCAGTCTGTGCCAGATATAAACTAGACACTTTTGGGCACCACGTTACATAATTTCTGTTCTACAAGTAATAAAGCAGGTCTGCCTTTAATTAAGAGAAGAGGAAGGGGCTGGCAGGGGACTGGCAAGGAAAAAAGAAAGCGAGAAACAAGAGGCATATGAGAAAACACTGCTGGTGAGGAAATTCTAATAGGAATTGGGTGATTTTGAGTGAAATCTGGCAGTCTCTGGCACATATGAATGCATTCATTGTTGCTAGTTCTGATTAATGATAGTTGTACAATAGTGTGCTGACAGTCACTGCCATACAGACACAATTTTTTTTTGATATGAAACACTGCTGAAAATGCAACCCAATCAGATTTGGCCCCTGAACAACATGTGCTATCATCACTGTACTGTGAATTGAGATTGATTGGTAACCAGCTGTGACAAAGTGGGAAAAAGAGCCTTGTCTTTTTCAAGAAAAGAAAAGAAGAAAAATAAAAAACTGAATTGTGTCAAAACCATTACCATCTGCTCAGCCAAACAGCAAATAAAACAAAACACACTAACTGTTTTTAAGTATCACAAATTAATGTACTGAGGTTGAATTCATGTGTTAACTTATGCATCTAAGAATAAACTTGAATTGAACTCATTTTGCCATAGCTGGATTTTTTTCCCCACATTTGGAAGTGTATCTGTTCGTACTCAGCCATCAATCTTCCTCATTATTATCAAATAAAAAAAATAGACAAAAAAATACTGAATTTAGATATATTTAACAATAATTTTAGGGTTTTTTTGCATTTGATATACATTTTCCACGGTGTTTCACAAAATCCCTAGTTTCCATATTTTCAAAAATGTGCATGCAGCTATGCATAAAAAATGCACCTCTTTTGTTTTTAACATGCACAGATAGCAAAAATGCATCTGCAGCTGGAGCCATTACATTCCTAAAAATCCAAGTAGGCCTAACTGGTAATACAAGGACTTACTCGCTTTAGCAGTGTATTTTAAACTTCACAGAATGCACTGCTGACCTTGACAAATCCAACACAAAAGTCTTATTTTTTGCTAAAGGGATATTGCAAGAGGAAAAAGTCACACCTAAAGTGTTAAAAAATGATGCCACTGGGCTAAAAAAAAAATTGCATTAATTTATATCAGGTATATATTTTCATCTAAAACAGTATTGTAAATAAAAAAATATTATATAATAAATTAGAATCTTTGTATGTACACATTATAGGCTTGACTTTTTTTTTTTTTCTTTTTTTTGGAGATGGCACATAAATGACTTTGCTCAATTTTCTTTTGCCTGTTTGCCAGACTATTTTGCAGAACACGCACAAAGCTTCAAGATTGCTCACAACACCGATGATTAGGGAGCCCAAATAGAGAGATGCTACTGGCCAAAACCAGGGAAAACAGGAGGTAGTTAAGGAGGCTTAAGCTTCTGTCTCCACTTCTGTTTTGTGGTGCTGGCACTTCAGCTCCCAGCATAGTGCCACAGCTTTTCCCTGGCTCCTGC